CTAAGGTCATCATAACAAATCTTGACCTTCTCTGATTCTGCACAAATGGTCAACTAAGACCCAAATTTGGCATTTTCTATTACTCTTACTTTATTTGTCTGGCTACAGGCCAATATATCCTTGAAAGAAATGTCTTGTGGAACAGTTTAATTCAATTGATATGTCTGTGACAGCCACACTGGGTTTTTATAAAAACTGATCTCTTAATGATGCAGATCCCATTATTTTATCTTGATAATCTTTATACTGGTTGCTACCATTTTATATAAGGTTTGTATTGCTGCCAACTTATTTTAATTTTGTTTTTAATGATTCTTCAGTATTTTGATTTGTGGTTAGAAAATGGTTGGTTCTTTCACAATATAACCTCAAACTGATGATTGTTCAAAGATGTGAATTTTTAATTTTATTATCTTGTTAATTTTTTTAAAATGTTTTCATTTATGAAGGTTTTGTTTGTGATGTTTTAATTTTTTATTGGGGAAGCACTGTCAAAAATATCAAATTTATTAATGGAAAGTTCTTTTTAATGGCATATGGATCATTTTTTTTAATGGCATATGGATCATTTTTTAATGGCATATGGATCATTTTTTAATGGCATTTGGATCATTTTTTAATGGCATATGGATCATTTAATGTTGAAATGTAATTTTCTTAGGAGTTTTGAAGTAATAAAAAATATGATATTTGTTGTTCTGCTTTCACAATTGACTACATGGTAGATGATACTCAGCTTTTGTGCATAATGTATTTTTGGTATTTTTACTATAAAAATGTATTTTTATACTTTCATAGTGTTTTGTTTTTGTTTGGTGGTTCACTATTTGCCCCATAGCTGGGACCCTAACAGGTGCTAAAACTCCTGGATCAAGGTGAACCTGGGAACAACAATTAAGAGTTGGTTTCACACTCCTCAAAATCTCCAATCTCGCAATCAGAGGCCTTGCTGCTGGATGTAGTTTATTGTCAAGTCTAATTAATGGGACTTCATAATGTTTATAATAAAATAAATCAATTTATAATAAATTTGACCCAGAATAAATTAAAGTAACAGGTTAGCAGATAAAAACTTGACGGAATAATCAATTATATGTCACTATTCATCTTTGATTGATCATCAACACACATCGTGGCTGAGAGGTTTAAAGCAAGTCATTTCTAATGACAGTTTTTCCTGCGAAAGGGAGTTCACATATTTTCTATGAGAAAATATTCAAGCCGGGAAACAAAAATATATTGTTTAATAATTAATTAGTACATTTGAACAACACTAAACATAAAAAACTTACCCAGTTAGTAATTAATATAGTTTGTCACTTTATAAAATACAATAAAGTTGTGTGACTTTATTGTATTTTATTTTTTTTTTTTACCTGAAAATAAAAATAATAAATTTTGTTGTCGGTTTTAATCCAAACTCATGAATTTTTTTTGCTAGTAGGCTTGGTTTAAATGTGGAAAAATGTCATCTTAAAGACAACTATTTTTCTTTTCTTTTTTTGTGTGGTGTTGTGTCTCTTCAGGCTGTGGGCAATCATGGCTTGCCACAACTTCCTGTCTTTGTACCTCTGACCCTTACTATATCTCTCAGTCTCTGGTCTGCAATCCATTTGCACAAGCTTGTTAGGTAGGTTACTTGCTGCTTACCTCTGCTCCTCAGTATGTCCTGTGAGTGTCAAATTCTCCAAACCCTCTTTCTTCATTATGCATCTCAGATTTTTCAGCAAAAATTTTTCTTTTTTTACTACTACTACTACTGTTATTATTATTATTGTATTTCCTTTGATTTCTGGTGTGAACACATTTCTTTCCAGGCCAAGTTAGAAATGGCATCATAACATTTTCCACTGACCAAATAAAAAAAAGAAACATAAAAAAGCACACACACACACACACACACACACACACATATTTTACATAGATAAAACCCTTCATAAGGTGTGGGCTGTACTCGTAAGAACCATTTTTTTTGTATTTCTTTAAGGCTTCCAGGAATCCCTTCAAGAAGTCTATTGGAATCTTTTCCAATCAATCTGAGGGCTCAAACTACTACAGGGATTGTTGATGTTCCCATGTGCCACGTTTTTGAGATTTTGATTTTAAGGTCCTTTTTTATTTATTATTATTATTATTATTAAGTGAGAGAGAAACACACCAAAGTGAGGCTGGGGTACAAATATATGAATTCTAGTATATCCGTCATGACACCCAGTCTAATAAGGGTATACAAAGCAAATGCATCACAGCCAAATGTGCACAATGTAGTAACAGCTTTTAATAAAATCAATATATCAGGTCAGGTAACCCAGTCCATTTGGGCAGTCCCAAACCCGATTGAGGATGTTTCCAATATCTAAATATAACTCCCAAGTTTCTTTAGACTACCTCATATTTCAAATTAAAAAAAAAAAAAGAATTCTTTCAACACCTAGCCATGATACTCCTCCATGAGCAGATATGCACAGTGTGTCAACCTCTAGGGAATATGCCAAATCGATTAAGGTTAGACAACTGACAAGCAGATATATAGTACTGAATGGGATATTTACTGTAACCCAACTGAATTCACAAAGAGAAAACATGTATATGCTAGCACCTCCAATCAATTAAGAGAAGCCACAAGAACCATACTTGCTGTAGCATCTAGTCATCATGATACTAAATATATATATATATATATATATATATATATATATATATATATATATATATATATATATATATATATATAGGTTCTACATTCAACACTGTCACTTGAGAAGACATCAGAAGTGTTGAAATAAAATGGCTATTTTTTTTGTAGTGATTTTATAACATGTGTATGTTATAATTTTGAATAAATATTTTCTCTACTCTGTATTGAGCACTCTTTTAAGGATAATGTTTTTTTGGTTATTGTATACTTGGGCTTACATGTAACTATACATATATATATATATATATATATATATATATATATATATATATATATATACACACACACATATTACTACCATTACTATAAAGTTTTTGTATTGCTACTACTAAAACTATAAATATTTTTTAATAAGTACTAATTGGTATGAATGTGTGTCTTTAAAAACAGTGCTTCTTTTTTAAAATGAAAAAAAATGTTGATCCTATTTTAATGAAATATCGGTGTCAAGAATGTTATAAAAATGATTTTTAATTTTCAAACAGGTTTCATGACAACATGTTTAGATGCAGTTATATAAACTAAACATTAAACAGAAAACTTATAATTTATGCACTTTTTACACACATACACATTAAAAAATAAGTTGTGTGTTTTGTTTGTTAGAGTAGCCTTCTTTTAGATTGATTGCTTTACATAACTGAAGAATTCTAATTTCCCTTCTATTGTCCATAGCTGGAGGTTAGGCAGCAAAAAGTAATATTTGACCTGAACTGTTGGGAGAAATGGATTTGAGCCTTTCTCAAAAGCATTTACAAAGTGAACATAAACTCTCAACTGGTATTTGAAAAAGTAGTAGTTAGTTCCATTTTTCTTACTGGTAACTATTATACCACCCAGTACTATAAAATTCATGTTAAGGTGTAAATAAAAGCTTCCATCCAATATTTCTAGAAAGTTACCAAATATGACAGATGTCTGTTGGAGACTGGTGGGTATAGTTGCAGAATAAAAAAAAAAACAAAAATTAAAAAAAATAACTCTACTGAATCAATGTATAATAGTTATAACATGTCATCTCAGAAATTCAGATAAAGAATTGGAGTGCTTGGAAAGAGAGGAGATATGTTTGTCTTCTCCACTCTCCAAAGTCCATTATAGACATTAGTCTATATTATGAAATGGACAAAGTCCGACAATTATTTTAAGACATTTTTTATGTTTATACATTCTTTTTATAGATACAAATATTTAAATAAATGCTCTGTTTATAATAAACAGTATTAATAATATTTACCGGCCTGAATGTGCGAGAAATTTCCATAGAAAATATGTGTCCTCCAACATCATGGAGAATTGTGGTTTAAAAAAAAGTAAAATTGACCTTGCTAACTGAATGCTCCTCTGTTGCTCAATCAGTAAAAGCACATCAGGCTATATGATAGTTCTGTATAGGATACAAGTTCGATTCCTGCTGGAGGACGCATATTTTCTATGAAAATTTTCTCGGACATTCAGGCCGGTAAATGTTAATACTATTTATTATAAACAGAGCATTTACTTAAATATTTGTATCTATAAAAAGAACGTATAAACATAAAAAACATTAGTCTATCTATCATATACTTAAGCCTTAACAAGACAGATGAAAAGACTAGAATAAACCAAAGAAATGAATTGTAACATAAAAACATTTTATATAGAATACTGAAGTACATAGATATAAAGATGCAATACACACACACACACACACACACATATATATATATATATATATATATATATATATATATATATATATATATATATATATATATATATATATATATAATATAAATGTTTCTGTGTGTTTCATAAATTGTTGCACACAGATAAATTAAAATACATATTCAAAAAAAAAAAAGGCAAGTAATATATGAAAGATGAATAAAAAGTCTTATTTGTAATGTCCCCAATAGTGTCATGGTATAGCACATGGTATATCTTAAGTTCCTATTTAGGATGCATGGGAATATCTACCATCCACCATAGTTAGTTGAACTTCAATTGAATCTTGCATCTCTCTCTATTGTGAGCTAAGCACCAAACTGACTATCCTCACCAACAGGCTGCCATGTGAATCTCAAGACCTCATGTAACTTTTAAGACATCAGTAAATTTGTCCTGTCAAAAAGGAGATAATTGCCTTCCATATTCCTACAGAAGCAACTGTTACACAAAGATGACTATCTCTTTAAAAAAAAACAAATTTCCTCTTCTATTTTCAATAAAATTTGATGATCATGTAAATTAACAATCTGTTTAAAAATCATGTAAATATGTAATTCGTATCGATATATTTCTTGTAATTTTATCTTTCCAGATGACAGACATTATCAAAGCAGGATGGATTCAACGTCACAGCAGTATGTATCAGTAATTCCTTTGTTAATTTGATTTAATCAGACAATTAATCCAACGATTGACAAATCCATAAAATTGACATCATGGAAATCAATTGCAATAAAACAAATAATCTGAAAATCAATATTTTGAATCAAATAAAATATATTCTTTGTGAAAAGTAATGTTGAAAATTAATTCTAATTGATTAAGACAGACAAAAACACATTCCAAAATAAACAAATGTCATTAGGTGATTAATTATCCAAGTGCTAAACTGACTATTTATGTGGTTGTGCTACTAAGCATGTCACTCCAAGCCTAAATTGAGATATGAGTCAAACTTCAAAAAATAAAGAATCCACCTTCAACATGTTTTTTTTTTTTTTTAAATATTTCTTGTTATTAACAAGGCACAGGACAGAAGGTGGGAAGCTATATATATATATATATATATATATATATATATATATATATATATATATATATATATATATATATATATATATATAATATATATAATATATAATATATATAATATATATATATATAATATATATATATATATAATATATATATATATATATATATATATATATATATAATATATATATATATATATATATATATATATATATATATATACATATATATATATATATATATATATATATATAATATATATATAATATATATATATAAACACTAAATCTTTTGTAGAAATTTACAATTGGAACATATCTCTAAGTTAGTGCTTCCCAAACACAGGATCGTGACCCAAATAAGAATAGAATATTTTTCTATCCCATTATTGGAGTACTAAATATCAAAAATAATTTTGAACAAGAAATTATCTGAATAATTAATCAAAGGTAGATAAAAAGTCCTGATGTATTTCCCTCCATTCATGTCCAATATGTGCATGCCATGGCAACTGTGGAACCTTACACAATTGCAGTATCGTTTTTTACTTCTATTGTTGCTATTTTAAATAATTAATGTGCTATACACAGGAAACATTTACATAAATTTGTACCTTTTTATTTTATTCAATCAACATAAGAAATATCAATATTTATTATTAACTAGCTTAAAAGATGCACCACATGTGGACTTTTAAACTAGCTACTGTGGAGGGCTAATTGGGTCTCTGGTTCAATTTGGAAAATAGCAATGATGATTTTGAAGAAATAACCTTGATTTCCTCAATTCACTCCATGGAACTTCAAAACCTCACTTTAACTCTGATTCAGGCTATAAATCCAATTCTGGCCAAAAGACTGATTTGGGCAGAAATTCCAATTCAGGTTGAAAATTGAGTTCTTCAAATCACAAACTCCATGGAACTTCAAAACCTCATGTCATGAAATCTCTCATTTTAACTCTGATTCCTTAGCATTTTGAAGAAATAAAACTGATTTCCTCAATTCACAAAGTTTTTGAGATATTTTAAACTGAATTAAAAACAAAATTTTTTAAATCATGAAAGTTTCGTTACTTCAAACTCAATATAAATTAAAAATTTAAAAATCAATAATTTTTTTCAGTTAAAATTTAAATTTAAAATTTGAATTTTTAACTGTTTCCTCTTCATCTGAGCATAAGTCCCAATGCTAGATGTTCAAGCACCAGAAGAAAGGCAGATTTTCAATCCTGGGATCATCCTGATTCTAAAAAGGTATATGTTTATGTAGAGCAAGTGTGGCCCAATTTAGAGAGGGTTTCATGGGTGCACAGACAGAATTTGCCATTTATTTATTTAGAAGTACAATTTAGTAAGATTTATTGGTTAAAAATCAAAGAAGAAACATTGAAATGATGTTTCTGCTACAATGGACAATAGGGGTCGTGATTGAAGGGTAACAAGATAAAAGACCGTTAGACTTGGTCTTTTACCCAAACTAAGATTATTTTCATTTACATATGAGTCTGAAAAATTCTCTGCTGACCAAGAAGTCATAACACGCCTCTTTAATGTCTGATGTAAACTAGTGCCTCTACTCTTTGAGTCCATTGCTCCACCATAGTGCTAAGTTTTCAAAATCAACCTTTATTCTTTAATTATATAGCAATGCAATTGTTTAATGGCATCTGCCATTGAGCGATGAGCTAGTCTTGTAGACTATTCCATTGTTAATTCCTTCTTGGATGCTCCTTTATTGTTGCACTGTACCAGCCTAAGCTATGCCTTGTAAATGGCTTCGTTAATACAATTTTTCTATTGTGTGAAGTAGCCTAATGGATTGGATATCTGTTAATGGAGCCAATAAAACGGTTTCAATTCTGGTTGCTGGAAATTGGTGTTGTTTTTCATTAATGCTGTTATGTATTGTTAGGATCATAATATAGTTTTGTATTTCTCTGATGGTGCCAGAGGTGAGTGTTCATGCTCATGTAAAACTGGGATCTTCAGTGCTGATTTTCAAGGCAGGCAGACTGGTTTTGTTTACTTAGAAAACTTCTTATATTTCCTTATAGTGTTTAAAGCCACATGTGGATGACATTAAAAATGCCAATATTACATAGTTTTTTTGTTTTTTTTTCTTTACTAATATTCAACTCCCATCCATGGGTTACATAGCAGGCTAGATTGAGCTTTCTAGCCTTGAGTAGTAACCAGTTCTAAAGAACAGAAGTTTTGAATTCAAACTGTGGAGGAGGCAATGGTGAAACCCCTTCACTATCTTTTCCAAGAAGGAATGTCAATTCACAGTTCATAAAGGAAAAAAGACTCTCTGGAAAGCCAAGATTGCCTGAAGAAACATGGCATTTTAAAAAGAATAATATTCAATAAATCTCATCTTGTATTGAACTACAGCTGATTAATAACTTATTGAATCTATCTTCGACTTAAGGATGAATTAATAAGTCTATTGACTGAAAAATAATTAGCCTAATTTTGATCTGAAATTTTCACTGTATAATGTTCTGTCTATATGATTATTATTCACTACTGAATTAAGTGCATTGACAAGGAAGGAGAGTATGCTGAAAATAAATATTTGTGTAAAATAAATGATCTTTCATCATTAAGCTACAAACTTATTTATGTGCCTTTGCTTCTCTCAATTTTTTTATAAATTTAATTATCAAAACATCTTTTTCTAATATTACAGATTTTATAAGTAGAATTTGCTTGTATGTGTTGATCATTGTTTTATTGTATTTTTATTTTAAATCAGTCTCACTTTTGTTTTATGACATGGCTTTGTTAATCTAGAACTTATAGAATTAAGGATTAAACCTCTCACTTATCTCTTGTCAATCCACCACTTGATGGATTAAAATATACATATGACCATGAGAATGAACTACAAGTATCAGATAAACACATCGTACCCTCTATACTAAAATGTGACTAATTTTCATTTTTTTTTTTTTACATTTTAATACACAGCAGACACTTTCAACTTTCCTGAAAGCAGTTTCTTCTTTTTTGATGTGCTGTGTCTATTCTGAATGTAGGCGATCATGGCTTTCCATAATTTCCTGTCCTTTGTAGCTCTTAATACTGTTTGTCTTTTTGTTTCTCTTAAACGTTTTTTCTACCATCTGTTTTCTCAAAGCTCACTAGGTAGGTTATTCATTGTCTTCTTCTGACCCTCTTGCCTTCAATCTGTCCTGTGAATATCAAATTTTCCAAGTCCACTTTCCTCATGTGAACTAGAAATTTCAACTATCTCTTCCTGATACGTATCCTTTTTGTTTCTATTTTCTCTAAAACTTTGTTGTTGCTCACATGTTTGGTCTATGGTATTCTCAGCATCTTTCTGTAGAAGCACATTTCTGTTGCTTCAAGTCTCTTCTTCAAGGAGATTGTCCAGTATTCACTGCCATATAGGATGACTGATATTACATAACAGTTTAGTACTCTTTATTTTTTTATTTTTTTTAACAAAATATTTCTGTTTCTTAATGCTTTGCTTAGCTTTTGAAAGGCATTTTTTGCTATCCCATTGCACCTTCGGATTTCAGTGTTGCACATTCCGCCCTCTACTAAAACACTTCCCAGACATTTAAATTTTTGTACTTGTTTGATTTTGTTATCTCCAATTTATAATTCACATGTTGGGCTGTCCCCTTTTTCTAACAACCATGCATTAAGTTACCGATCTTAAAACTTAATTTCCTCTAGGTACTCATAACCACCAGGTAATTAAATCTGTTTAACCAATGCTTTATTCATTAGACAGTATATCCTGTGGTATTGGTTAAGTCGATTTAGTTATTTGGTAGTTACAAGTTCAGTCTTTAGTTTGGGCAGGACAAAAAGTAATTTATATTCTGGTCTATTGGAAGAAGCAAGCAACATTACAAATGACTCGAGGTGGGAGAATAACTAATAATGAGATTTCTTTTGGCACAAACAGCGGAAAGTGCATAATCTACTCTTGCTTGGAAGTTTATCAACCACAACAGACACCTGAAGAAGGCTGGGTGGTATAGTGGCTAAAATGGTGTAGCTATAACAACCAAGTTCAAGGACACTAGTCTATGTAAATCACTGTATAATTGTATGAACCTAATTATTAATTTTTCTCCCAATCCATCCAACTGTTCTTGAGTTAACACTTAATCACACACAGACAAATTGTAATGTCCTATTATTTTGTGTGCAACTTCCATTGATAATATCTCTTTGGATATTGACTGGTTTAATACTTTGATGCTGGAAATTCATCTTTTGGATTCCTGCCTAAAAGGAGACTGCATGTTCTATGATGTCTGCAGTTACTGCTAGCAATAATAAGATTATTGTTTATAGTTCACAAAGAAATCTATGCTGTAGATTCTTGTTGAATTTTTAATACAAAAGGTTGAAGGTTGACCTTTTATGACAATAAGAATTTCTTTGGATTATAGCCTGTACATAATACGGAGGGCAAGGAATGTTTCACACACCCACACATCAAACCTATGGCATTAATTATAAGAATTTTCTATTTTAATTGTCTAATACATATTTCATTAGAAACATTTTTTATAAAACTTGTTTAATCATAAATATTTTTGTATTTGATAA